TTAAATTCTTATGTATATACAAATAAGTACATGCAATACATATATAAATATGCATATAATATTACTATATATATAATTTATTAGTTAATTGTAAATTATAAAAAAATTGTACACGTATATAAATAAATACATGCTTATAATAATATTAATACACACATTAGTATTAATTTATCTCGTGTGCTATGTGTATTTCCGTCTTTATTCTGTGTAAGAGATAAGCAGTGTTATTCCTGAGGGTTTGAGATCGGTTTGGCGTGGCTCCATGTTTAAAGTTTTTGTTCTAATATTAGCAGACCGCTCGCATTGTGTGTCGATTAGAAGAAGGACGAGACTCGTGGGGAGCATCTGCGTAATATCAGGGTTGGGAGGTTTTCAGTAATTGGTCAAATTCGGCTTTGTTGGTCTTCTGTTTAGTGAGATGAAACTCTCTAATAGTTCCTGGTGTCAGATGAGCTCAGGATCAGGTGATCGACACACAGGACGTTCTGTGATGTTGTCAAAACACCGTCCTGCATGGTTTGTCATCACTTCTCTGTGTGACAGCAGACACTGATGAAGCTTGTTATGATACAGGACGGGTGGCTCATTTTATAGCTCAGTAATGGTATATGTCATAATAGCTTTATTTACTGAAAATTGTATATATATATATATATATATTAGGGCTGGGCGATATAGCTAAAAAATGTATCAACGATATGATGTTTCATATCGTTCGGTATAGATAATTATTGACTTTTTTTAAACAAAATGCAATAGAATTTTTTTTTTTTTATTTAACCACTGTATTTATAATTAACAACAATTTATTGAGACAAAAAACAAATAATTTTAAAACACAATAAAAATTAAACATATCTAATTTCTAATGTTTTATATGCAGATTAAATAGGTTTTAAGGAAACTTTTGGCTTGTCTCCTGAGGCCACAGGAGGGTGCAATGAGCAAAATAATGCAGCGCATTTAAATTGTCAATGCAAGGATGTAACTGTCTATAAAAAACATGCATTACATCTAAATTAACTAAATTAATTTCGTAAATTGCATAAACAATTATGAACAGAACAGCGTCATGTATTTATGCATTGCTTAATCCACAGTGGGGTCCAAAATAGGGCTTGGCGATATAGCTAAAAAATTTATCAATGATATAATGTTTCATATTGTTCGGTATCGATAATTATTGACATTTTTTATAACCTTTTTTTTTAAAACAAAAAGCGATTTTAGAATTTTTTTTTTTTTATTTAACCACTGTATTTATAATTAACAACAATTTATTGAGACAAAAAACAAATAATTTTAAAACACAATAAAAATTAAACATATCTAATTTCTAATGTTTTATATGCAGATTAAATAGGTTTTAAGGAAACTTTTGGCTTGTCTCCTGAGGCCACAGGAGGGTGCAATGAGCAAAATAATGCAGCGCATTTAAATTGTCAATGCAAGGATGTAACTGTCTATAAAAAACATGCATTACATCTAAATTAACTAAATTAATTTCGTAAATTGCATAAACAATTATGAACAGAACAGCGTCATGTATTTATGCATTGCTTAATCCAAAGAGCTGAAGCACTGATCACACAGACTGCATTTAAAAACATGAGACGCAGTGAAAAGGAATAAACCTCCACAAATTCGTGACGTGTCAGATGAGCTCAGGATCAGGTGATCGACACACAGGACGTTCTGTGATGTTGTCAAAACACCGTCCTGCATGGTTTGTCATCACTTCTCTGTGTGACAGCAGACACTGATGAAGCTTGTTATGATACAGGACGGGTGGCTCATTTTATAGCTCAGTAATGGTATATGTCATAATAGCTTTATTTACTGAAAATTGTATATATATATATATATATATTAGGGCTGGGCGATATAGCTAAAAAATGTATCAACGATATGATGTTTCATATCGTTCGGTATAGATAATTATTGACTTTTTTTAAACAAAATGCAATAGAATTTTTTTTTTTTTATTTAACCACTGTATTTATAATTAACAACAATTTATTGAGACAAAAAACAAATAATTTTAAAACACAATAAAAATTAAACATATCTAATTTCTAATGTTTTATATGCAGATTAAATAGGTTTTAAGGAAACTTTTGGCTTGTCTCCTGAGGCCACAGGAGGGTGCAATGAGCAAAATAATGCAGCGCATTTAAATTGTCAATGCAAGGATGTAACTGTCTATAAAAAACATGCATTACATCTAAATTAACTAAATTAATTTCGTAAATTGCATAAACAATTATGAACAGAACAGCGTCATGTATTTATGCATTGCTTAATCCAAAGAGCTGAAGCACTGATCACACAGACTGCATTTAAAAACATGAGACGCAGTGAAAAGGAATAAACCTCCACAAATTCGTGACGTGTTTTCTAAAAGTTTAAACTGTTTTAACTTTGCGTGGCTCTCTATACATCTCTTGTGTGAGACGCGAGTGCAGCAGTCGTATTTGTCCGTCTAAAAATGCGCTGAATATGTGTTCTGTGTGAATGGCTTGGTTTGGTTTTCACCTGATCAAGATCTTCTCCGCATTGAGCTTCTATATTTCTCTAATATGTTGAATGAATAACACAGCAGCGGCGCGTCTCGTGTGCAAATCTAACAAAACATTCAAATGCAACAACGTCACTCACATCATCATCACAGCATCTCGAGCTCCACTGATGACGCTCCCTGATGCACACATAACATTCAAATGCAAATGTGTATTTTAAATTCGACTAATATTCATTCTTTATTCTAGGGCTGCACGATAAATTGAGCCGTTGTTCACAGACAAGCTGCGCAAAACACGCGCAAAATATGATCGTGGTTTTGTGCAGCTTGTCTGTGAACAATGGCTCTGTGTAGTAAATGCTGCTCCACGTGAAAGCACGCACGTGTAAAGATTTACCGCTGATTACAGAACCGGCTTTACTGACGAGATGCGCATTAAATACTGTGCGATATTTATCGTGCAGCCCTACTTTATTCACAATCTTCTCATCACAGGCACAGCACTCATTACAGCATGTGTTGTGTTTGTGTGTGCTGTCTGCATCACTCAGAGCACGTGCCTATATCGTGCGCCATATCGGACAGTCTAAAAATGCGCTGAATATGTGTTCTGTGTGAATGGCTTGGTTTGGTTTTCACCTGATCAAGATCTTCTCCGCATTGAGCTTCTATATTTCTCTAATATGTTGAATGAATAACACAGCAGCGGCGCGTCTCGTGTGCAAATCTAACAAAACATTCAAATGCAACAACGTCACTCACATCATCATCACAGCATCTCGAGCTCCACTGATGACGCTCCCTGATGCACACATAACATTCAAATGCAAATGTGTATTTTAAATTCGACTAATATTCATTCTTTATTCTAGGGCTGCACGATAAATTGAGCCGTTGTTCACAGACAAGCTGCGCAAAACACGCGCAAAATATGATCGTGGTTTTGTGCAGCTTGTCTGTGAACAATGGCTCTGTGTAGTAAATGCTGCTCCACGTGAAAGCACGCACGTGTAAAGATTTACCGCTGATTACAGAACCGGCTTTACTGACGAGATGCGCATTAAATACTGTGCGATATTTATCGTGCAGCCCTACTTTATTCACAATCTTCTCATCACAGGCACAGCACTCATTACAGCATGTGTTGTGTTTGTGTGTGCTGTCTGCATCACTCAGAGCACGTGCCTATATCGTGCGCCATATCGGACATTTTTTCTATCGATATTGAAAAAGGTGTACCTGCGATAAATATTGATACTGTTTTATCGTCCAGGCCTAATACAGTGGGGCAAAAAAGTATTTAGTCAGCCACCAATTGTGCAAG